CCAAGGTAAGCACCCCCTGTATCCGGCAACCCCGTGCCCCAGGCCCCCTCCTGCATCCAAACTCCCTCCCAGAGCCCACACCCCAAATCCCAGCCCCGCACCCAAACTCCCTCCCTCTTTGTTAACCAGTATTTTTCACTTACCGGCACCCCTCATCCCCCCTACATGCTAGATAAAACAGCTTTTACTGTATCTTGACTTCAGTAAGGCTTTTGACACTGTCTCATGAATTTCTCATAAACAAACTAGAAAAATATAGCCTAGATGAACCTACCATAAGGTGAGTATACAACTGGTTGAAAAAGCAAACAGAAAGTAGTTATCAATGATTCACAATCCAGCTGGAAGGGCCTATTGAGTGGGGTTCCACAGGGATATGTCCTGAGTCTGATTCTATTCAACATCTTCCAAAATTATTTGGATAATGGCATAGACAGCACACTTATAAAGTTTGTGGACAACACCATGCTGGGAGGGGTTGCAAATGCTTTGGAGGACAGGATTAGAATTCAAAATTATCTTGACAAACTGAAGAAATGGTCTGAAATAAATAGTATGAAATATAATAAGGACAAATGCAAAGTACTATACACAGGATGGAATAATCAATTGCACAAATACAAAATGGGAAATGACTGCCTAGGAAGGAGCACTTCAGAAAAGGATCTGGGGATCATAGTGGATCACAGACTAAATGAGACTCAACAATTTAATAACGTTGCAAAAAAAACAAACAACCCATAATTCTGGGATATATTAACAGGAGTATTGTAGTAAGCATGCCATGAGAATTAATTCTTCCTCTACTCAGTACTAATAAGGCCTCAACTTGAATACTGTGTCCAGTTCTGAGCTCCATGCTTTGGGAGAGATGTGGACAAATTGGAGAAAGTCAAGAAGAGAGCAACAAAAATGATTAAAGATCTAGAAAATATGACTTATAAGGAAAGACTAAAAAAACCTGGGTTGGTTTAAGCTGGAGAAAAGAAGTCTGAGAAGGGAGATGATAGTCTTCAAATACATAAAAGGTTGTTATAAAGAGGAGGGTGATAAATAGTTCTCCTTAATCAGTGAGGACAGGACAAGAAGTAATGGACTTAAGTTGCAGCGAGGGAGATTTAGGTTAGACATTAGGAAAAACTTCCTAACTATCAAGGCAGTTAAGAACTGAAACAAATTACCTAGGGAGGTTATGGATCTCCATCCCTGGAGGTTTTAAGGACAGGTTAAATAAATACCTTTCAGGAATGGCCTATATAATAGTTAGGCCTGCTGCAGTGCAGGGGAGTGGACTAGATGACCTATCAAGGTCATTTCCAGTCCAACATGTCTATGATTCTCCACCAAATCATGTGGGCGCCACAGAAGCAGATAGCATCACCCCCTCAAGCAGCTTTTTCAAAATCCCTAGCTACAAATTTAAGCATACAAGGGGCTTTTCCAATTTTCACTTCAAAAATTATCAGCTCCACAAAATTTCACATAAAAATAGATGTTGGATGCAGAGGAATGAATGCAAAAAAAAATTAGTTTCATAATCAAAATTGCTACAGTGCTTTTGACCAGCTTTACTCTGTTTATTATGGCCAGCCTCAACTATAGTCAGCTGGCTGTCCTTCCTCTCCTGCATTCCCCTCCCCACTCACTGCTCATTCTCATCTTAAAGGAACTTATAGGTAAAATGCCTCCTTTTCCCACTTCCCAAGATTCATCTATGTGAATGTTTCATTCCCCCTCCTCTATCACTGCTATCCTAGTTTTTCCACTTTAAAAATCTGATAACTGTACACCTGTACTGTAGAAGGTAGCTCCATATCAGTACATTGTAACTTTATAAACAAACAAGAATATAATCAGGAACACAAATTTTGGAATAAACTCATCATAGTTTGTATTTTTTTGAACTATTTAAAAAAATTAAATTGGTTGAGAAAAGAGAATCAGAAAAAGTAATCCAAAAGTACAAAAAACAAAATGTTGGCACTGCTCTTTAACTACATGGCAGCTAAACTAATGTTAATTAAGTGTGCTAAAAACGTGCAGTTGGGATCACAAGTTAGGTGCCAAGTTTAAGTCTGATTATTTTAAAATAACTGAGTGGTAGTATTGTTTAGTGAGTCTGGGAGTTAGGCCCCTGGGGTTCTATTCCAAACTTTGCTACTAACTGGTGTGTGACCTTAGCCAATTCACTTAGTCTCTCTCTCTCACTCTCTCTCTCTATCTGTAAATTGAGGATAATAATATGTATCAACCTTTGTAGAATGTTTTGAGATTCTTAAGCTAAATCTTAAGTTATGCACTGCATAAGTGCAAACTATCAGAATTATAAAATTAAAATATTTTAAACTATTAGAATTTTAAAATACTGTACATGTAACACACATTTACAATGGAAATAACAACTCAGCATCATTTATGGCATAGTAGTACTAACCATAATACCATTATCAAGGTAATGAAAAAATTAACAATTAAAATGGTATGAAAATACTGTAGGTCAGAATGGAAACCAATAAAGTCATAAAGCAGCCTTTGGACAATGAAAGCAGGAGTTATAAAGCTGAAAAAAGAGAAAATGAAGAGACCATATATAATATGTGGAGGAAAGAAAAAGAAACATAAGAAAGTGTAAAACATGAGAAATGTAGTAAATTAATTAATGCTTTTGCCGCTGAAGTGTGATGGATTAGCCTCCTCTCTGCTTCTCCTGAATCAATACTTACAAGTGCCTTTTTTTTTATTCCAAAAAAGGTTCCTGCAGCAACTCCTTTCAGTGCCAAGTACCGCAGATCTACCATAAGCAAATTCACAGAGGCCTGCTTAAACTGAAGAGTCCAATTAAAACTTCTGTTCACATTATTTTAATACCATTAAACTATTTTATTAGTAGACTGTACCTTATTTTTCATGAACTTTGAGTGACTCTTGTAAACTTCTATTTGTTTGATCTCTTCTTCTCGGTCCTCTATATTCAGAACTCCATTTGTCTTTAACATCTGTATTTCATCTTCAAGATCCCTTATATTGCGTTCAAGTGAAGCTATTTTTGTGTCCTGGATTAAAAATTTTAGAAAGAAAGAAAGAAAGAAAGAAAGAAAGAAAGAAAGAAAGAAAGAAAGAAAGAAAGAATTTGTAATTATATGAAACCTGGATGTTAAAAATACAGTATTTGTAGCAATGTGGTACAATAATAATACACTAGCACAAGAAACTGGAACAAATTCTGCTTTCATTTATACTGATGCAGGGGTGCTGGAACAATTTGTATAGTGGGGGTGCTGAGAGTCATTGAACCAAACTGTCAACCCTGTATATAATGGAAACCACTTCAAGCCAGGGGGTGCAGCAGCACCCTCAGCATCCCTAGTTCCAGCACTTATGACATGTACTGATGTAAATCCCAGGTAATTCCACTGACACTGGCTTAAGGGAAAACAGGATTTGGACCTCTACTCTCAAACAAAAGACAGCACAATGCTTGATTTTATTTTAGCATCAATTAAGAATGTGCATTTTGATGCTCATGCACAATCTGGGCAAAATCCTGCCCTACATCCTAGAAGGCACACAAAAGAAGGACAATAGATGGGGACAGCAGGGCCAGACGTACATGGAAATAACTTAGGCCTTGCCAACTACTTTAGGGCTATCAGGAGCTGGCTGGCCTCTCAATCTAGTGGTCTCTTGAAAACAAGGTTACAATCCAGTCCTGCTGTTTTGAGAAATAAGAGGAGTCTCCTTATGTCCATTTCCTCCACTGGTATACCCACATATAGCCAAAGGCAGGTTATATACTTTTCATCCTACAATCTCAAAGAGCTTTGCAAACAATATGTAACCAAGTTAATTTGCAACAACAGAAATGCCAACTCATACACCACGGATCATATGCCATCTCATATACTGGTTATCAGCTTGTGCCAGCACAGCACTTAAAAAATCCAGTGATTCAGCTCTCATTTTCATTTGTTGTCTGTAAATTAAAAAATCTATCCACTTGGGGATGGATAGCGATCACCAGGACTTGTAGTACCTTCTCACACAACTTTCACTTTGAAAGAATATAACAAAATGACTCAGTAGGCAATCTGTTTTCACACATCTATTAGGGAACAAATTTTCCATGGATCAAGCGCAGAGAAATTAAGTCCAAGAATACAAAGTAGCCAAGACATATTAGAAACTGGGATAAAATCCTTGCCCTACTGAAGTCAATGGCAGAAGGCCTATTGACTATAATGGAGTCAGGATTTTACCCCTTCCCTCTCTCAAAAAAAATAAAAGCTCAACCAAGACAAACTATATTTGAATCTCTGTAGTAAAATAAAACTTTGTTTCTGTTTTCAGTTGACTCTACTGCCTGTCTTTAGCCAGAAACTGAAGTTCTGAGATATTAAGAAAGGTTATTCCTATACTACCTACAGACTGTCCTGAAGTAGTCAGCACCAAAACTTTTTGCATGATAGTAAAGCCTATTTTCAGGATACGACCAGGCCAAAATTGCCATTTCAGAAGTTGGATAGCCTGGATACAGCTCTGATAAGCATCTGAACTTTTGACTACTAACCCAAAATTAAACTTTGAACCCTTCGAATTTTACCAACTATTGTTACATATCCAAGAGGAACCAAAGCTATGTAGGGATATACATTAATTTCTTTTTCTGCAAGACATTGTGTTGAGTTGTAGTATTGTTAACCTTTATTCCTGTAACCAATAATGATTTGCAGAACCAAGAAATTAATGGAATGCATTTATTTCCTTTATTAGTAATAAAGAACTGTGAAATGGTTGGATGGGAGAGATTTGGTCTCTAGAATAATATCTTCTTTGGCTTGCTATGTGATAATTATCCATAATTTGGCTACTTAAATTCAGAGTATTGATAGATTGGTGGAAAAGAAGTAAGAGAATGAGAATTACAAGACTAAATTCTTATATGAGATGCCTATTTTTTCAGTCCCTACTCCCAGGCCTAATCCCATATTACCAAGCATTTACTTCAAAATGCTGAGGTCTAGATCAGTGTTTCCTAAACTTGGGATGCCCCTTGTGTAGGAAAAGCCCCTGGCAGGCCTGGTCAGTTTGTTTACCTGCCGCGTCTGCAGGTTCAGCCGATCGCGGCTCCCACGGGCCGCGGTTCGCTGCTCCAGGCCAATGGGAGCTGCTGGAAGTGGCGGCCAGTACGTCCCTTGGCCCACGACGCTTCTAGCAGCTCCCAATGCTCAAACCACTGAGCTATCCCTACAGTAAATATTTGCTTGTCTTACTACAGTCTCATAGGGATGCCTAGCCCATGGAATCCCTACAGCCACCCATGCAGCAGTGAGTGTACGATGTGGTTCAAAATCAGACAAAGGAGGCCAGGGGAAAAGACAGGTGGCTTGTTGGTCACAGGCAGATTCTGCTTGCTACTAGAACTGTAACAATAGGCACAAACAAACTATACTGGGAAAAAGTTGGGTAACTCATTTGCATGACAATAGGATAGCAGATTGCAATAGCAGAGATATTTTGGGGTATGGAACTAGGTAAATATTTCCCCATACATTATGAAGTCTTACCTAACATACTGAATTTTTAAAACATTTTTTTCCACTGTATTTTTATGCAAATATAACAGCCTGTCTTTTTTAAGTGCAATGCTGCAGCAAGATGGGGAATATGATTCCTAGATCCATAAACCAGGGAAATACTGAGTAGAAGTAGGGAGGTGATATGCTGGCAAATGAAGTTCCATGTCAATAAATTCCAAGTAATGCACTTTGGAGAGAAATTTTACATTATTCATACACCTTACATGATTCCATATTAACTGTAGCAATTCAGGAAAATTG